TTTATTTCCAATAGTCAAGGAAAGTCTCTGAGGAAGAAATGGAGACCCGGTCATAGTTAACAAATGACCTTTAGTCATTTAGAGGCGAAAACAAAACAAAAAACTCAGGGAAAAAATGTGGGTCCAATAGAGATTAGAAGAAAACATTTCAAATAATTAAAATGAATACTTCCAATGACATGAGAAAATATCACGCCAACAATTTTGAATATTCTGACAAAAGTCAATTCCTACAAAATGTAATTTGCCACAACTGACTCATGATGAAATAAAATGTCTAATCTTATAAGCACTTAAGACATGGAAGCAGATATGAACGCAGGGTGTGAAGGAACCCCCAGGTGGGGAACATCATCACAGGTTTATGGAAGAAGTGTTCCTCATCCATTTGTAAGCAAACATAATCCTTACACTAAAACCAGACAGAAATATTAAGACTCATGCCAATCACAAATACGCATTTAGCAATTAGACATTCTAGACAAAAGATTATAAATAAATCCAAAAGTGTTTGGAAGAAGATAACAGTTTCAAACTAACTTAGCTTACACTCGATATGTGAGGATGATTCAAAATTTTGAAAAATCTGTAAATGCACTGAATTATATTAATAGATTAAAATTATATAGTCATCTCAACAGATGGGGAAAAAGAATGTGACATACTTAAATGTCTATAAATGGAAAGTATTACCATCAATTTCATAAAGAGAATTATTAAGAAAAACACAGTTAAAAATCATCCTACATAGGAAAACAGTAGCAGCACTCCATTTACCAAGAGAAATGAGCTAAAAACCCCAACTCACATCACCATATTTGGGCATGTATCCTAAAACAAGGAAACAACCAGTTAAGAGGCATGGGGACTAGGAAAAAAATAAAGTTTTCATTGTGTGTAGATAATATCTACAGAAATTCCAAAGAATAAACAGGCAACTTAATTTGAAATAACAAATTAATAACAAATTCTTAGGCCAGCTAAGAAATACTTATAATAGAAGCAGTGACAAAGAGGATTGACAGACTAGTATACAAGCATGATTATATTTTTGTTCACCAGCAAACACTAGTAAGAGAGAATTATCAAACAAAATTCATATAAGAATATCAAGCACTTAGAGGGAAGCAAACAAATGCAGCACCCTAATGGATAGTTACAAAACGCTTTAATATTCAAAAAATATCTAAAAATAGACATACTATATTCATGGATAAGAAAACTTACTATAACGAATATGTAATTGTTTCTGAGTGGTTTATAAACTCAATGCAATTCCAGTCAAAATCCCCAGGGAGTGCTTTGTTGAACTTGAGAATTTAAAATTTACGTGGAGGGGCAGGAAAATACAAGCAGTACACTTTTAGAAAAAAAAAAACGTGGAAAGGAACTTGACAGTCCAGATATTAGGACTTACTGTGAAGCCATAGCACTTGGCTTTAATTTTGGTGACAGGATAGAAACAATGATAAAATGGAACACAGTCCCATCAACGGATTGTACACAATAGCACACTATCATATCAGTGACTAACAGATGAACTATTCAATAAATGATGAGAAGATGCTCATCTATACAGAAATACAGACTTTTTCCAGATGTCATATAAAGGAATCAATTCCTTTTACCATGCTCCAGAAAGCAGTGACTTTTGGCTCCCTGGGCTATTTCCTCCAGTCTTTATCTGCATTTCTCTAAATAAAAAGCTCATCTTGATTTTCATTTCAAATGACCCTTGACTTGTCTACTCTGGAACGTGGAGATTTAGTTTAAAGTTCTCACAGACACTCTATTCTACCCGTGCAGTTGTTTCACAATTTAGAGTCAAACTGAGGATCAGATATTGCAAGTCATGTAATAAATGCAATTACTTGAGAAATTTCGTTGCTTGTCCTGAAGTTAGAATTGCTTTCTTTTTCCCTTTGTTAGTCCAGGGCTTTGTCAGCTATCGTATAGGAGGATACTTCAAAAGTTGGTCAAACAGCTAGAGTCAAAAGGTAAGTTTATTTTGCTGCCAAAATCACTTTGGAATTCTTACATAGTTTTTTATAATATGTATTTTTTGCATCATCTTTTGGAGCAATGCTCGAGTTTATTGAACCATATTTCTGAAGATGAGCACAGAATTGTCTTAAAAGTTCTGCTTTTGCCAAAAATATTGCTTTTGAGCATTTCTGTACATGCCCCCCTCCTTGTTTTAGTAATCAAAAGATAGTTTATTTTGGTGCAAATATCTTTTTGAAATTTATGCCTTTTTTAAAGACTACACTTGTTCCATGAACTTTCTGAAGATTCCTGTATATAAGAATTTCAGATTTCTTTGCACCAAAATAAACTTACCTTTTAATCGATTTCTCATGCAATTTTTTTTGCATGTTAAACACTTATTGCAAAACAAAGGCAAAACTGTCACCATAACTCTTACAACTGTTTCACTAACTCACTGACGCTTCAGCTAAGATCTTACTCTGCATAAAAGGTTCAGCGTTCTAAAAGCAGGATTCTGGTACTCTTTTGTTGACATTAGTCAGCAAAGATGATCGGGCGTGACATCAGTTACCAATTAAGCCCTGACCGTCATCTCTAGGAATGGAGATTAACATGATTTCACTTGCTAGATTCTGATATTCTCTGACAAAAATAGAGGTATCACTATCAATCTATGTATCTTTATTGCCTTTAATTGTTCAAAACCTTTCGGCACAGTGATCACCAAGCCAGTCCACAAAGAAAATTCACTTTTGACATTGTGCCAAGCCTCAGTGTTGACGCGATATGTCTGACAGCAGAGGGGTTGTGGGAGCTTCTACAAAATACGACTTCTTCACTTTGCTGATACCTCTGCTATGTGGACTCCTACCGGAATACTAGTCGCTCATGCTTGCAATGTTACCCAACAGGCACATTTTACCACAATGACTATGTTGAGGAAATTAAAATAAAACTTTTTTTTTGCATTCCACTTTAGATATTTCATAACATACCCTTAGATCTAGGTCAATCCTGTGCAATTTTGAAACCCCTCCACATACACCATGTATATGTTTATCACTGATTTTTTAAAAACAAAACCTCCCATTTGTACCACATAAGCATAAAATTGCTGAATAGAAAAGACGAGGCTTTTGCTTCTAAAGAAGGACATCTGGCACTTTGGGGAATATTAGAGAGCTGTGGCCAAACCATATGGTGGGAAGTGGGGCATGGGAAGACTGAGATTGTTACATTAGAGGCGGACTGGGATGATCCTCAGGCCTCTAGGTCCCTCTGCCCGAGCTCCATCTGCCACAGCCCACTGAGCGGAGCAAGAGGGGCTCCCGGTTCAAAGACCAAAGCTGCCTTTCCAGCATGGGACAACAGGTGGGACAGCAAGGGGATGAGTAAAACATGGCCAGCACCCAGCCGAGGAACAGGTGCCCGAACACTCCAGGGCCAAACGGCAGCCCTGTGAAGTGCTCACTCGCCCACAGTGCTTTGGACACAGGTGTATTGATAGTAGGCTGTGATTTTTGTGAATCCAGATGAAGCCTTAAGGACTGAACTTAAAGTTTAGTGAAAGTCCAATAGAAGTAAACATTAAGGTCTCTCGCCAAGCAGAGGCCTACTTGGTAGCAAGCTATGGCTGTATGAATACATGAGTATGATTTGTTCCTGACATCTGCTTTTTCGTGGTAAATGTTTCTAGTATCCACACAGCATATATTTGCTCTTAGCTCCAAGGAAGCCTGAGAAGAAACATTTGGAGGCGTGGGGTATTGTTGTTTCGTGTGTGCGTTTTGGCAGGGTGCAGCAGGAATTGGGAGACAAGTAACCAATCATTTAATACCATCTTCAATATGTGCTTTCACACTTTTAATACTTGTGCTAACTTGCAAATTATCCATATCTTCACTAATTCAAGCAGGCTATAAAACAATAGCAAGGACATATGCTGAGAACTTGTCAGAAATACAGAAGCTTGGGGCCAGTGTTGTGGCACACCAAGTTAAGCTGCTGCCAGCTAGCCATGAGCACCTGCCCCACTTCCGAACCAATGAAGCAGGAAGGGAGCAGAAGGTGGCCCAAGGGCTTCGGCCGCTGCCATTCACCTGGCTGGAGTAGCAGGCACTTGTCTGTGGGCTGACTCAGCCCTGGTCATCGCAGCCATTTTGGGAGTGAACCAGCAGATGGAAAATAGTCTCTCTCTCTCTTTGTGTGTGTTATTCTGACTTTCAAATAGATTAATGTTTAAAAGAGAAGGAGAGAGAGAGAGAGAGAGGTGCAGATTCTTGATTTAGAATTGATCTAGAATTAGAATCTTCAACTTAACAAAAGCTCCAGATGATTCATAAACAAGTTAAACTTGGGACACTGTGGTTTGAAGTCCTGTTTTCTAGGTAAAAATTATGATTTGGGATTAAAATCCATGCACATGACCTGGAATATCCTGAAACCACTGATGACAAGGGAGTCATGATGTCCTGAATGAGTTAAGATAAAGAACACGCACGTGGAGGACAGGGTAAGCACGGTAATCCCGTTCCTGGGCTTTTTGGCTGACATCAAGTGAAGAACAGTAATAAACATGGAATGAACGAAGTGGGAATTACAGTTCTCAGTTACCAGTATTCATTGCAATCAAATGTACCTAGGGGGTGATTCTGGGTGCTTTGCGACTGCTTAATGGGAAATCTGGTGGATTGCCACACATCTCTAATCATCAATCAGCTTTCTTGGCAGCATGGCTTGATTGCCTATCCATGTGCAAAATCTGCACTGTGTCCAGGAAAAAAAAAATACCAAATATAAAAATCTGACCTCCAGTAGCTGGGCAATGGGCCAAAAGCAGTCACAACAACAAAATACATCAAAGTGGGAAGGCCCACTCTAACGCCCAAAGATGGCAGGATTACGAGGGAAAAGGGACTCAAGGATTTAAAGGCTATGTTTTATTAGACGTGTGGTCGGATAACAAAATCCATTAGGTATATATCAGAAAATCAACTTGAAAGAACACTCACCGGGAAGAAAGGCTTGGCTTCCCACTTTTGCTACAGCTGGTATAAATTCCTGGGCCATCGTCAAAGAAGCTCCCGAGTGCCAACTTCTGTCTGATAGACTCTCTCTCATTTTTCTGTGCCTAAAATTTCAAGAAAAAACAAAGTGCTGATAAGCAGGCGGTTCCATCACAACCACAGGCAGCCTGACTTGCTACAGATCTTAGAATTGTAACATTAGGAAAAAAAAAAAAGGAATAATGGACCACAGCATAAGAACATGCGAATTATTTAATGCTGAAATAAAGCCATTCTCTTTTGGCTCCAACCTCAGTCCTTCAGAACCCACTGTGACCTCCAGTCCAGGCACTCAATGGTTCTTACCAGATCTAGATTGCTCAGCCCTGTAACCTTCCTTCTTACCTCCTAGATATGCCCGCATGAACACCTGAAGGCCAAGCCCATTTCCTTAAGCACAGTGCTTGCATCTCAACTGCTGCCTTTCCCCTATCTTCCTTACATGTCCCTTAAGCCACTTTCTCTGTGCTGAGACAGAAACGCACTTGCCTGACATGCCCCAGAATTCTATGCGCTGGCCATTGCCACGTGACGATGCTGAAACAGGGCCCAGGAAAGAGAGACGCACGACCTGTCTCCCCTGAGCCTACAGTCTTGCTGGGGACTGTTGTTCTACTCATCTCACCAGATCTAGAATGGGAGAAACCTGGAAGTACGGCCTAGATAATTCTAATTACAGCAAATGTTTCAAATTCTGCAGAGAGCTCAGGTCAGCGGGCACAGCGAAATGATTTGGTAAAAGTCCAAGACTGTGATCACTTGGATATGTTTACAATCCCTGGCGTCCCTGAAAGTCTCATAGAAACTCAACGACCTAAACTTGTAAACACTTTAAGTAACATGGGATTAGATTAATAGTAGTTTCCTTAGCCAAAAATAAACCAACTGAGGCCAGCATTGTGGCATAGCAGGTAAAGCTGTTGTCTTTTAGACCAGGATCCTATACAGGTGTTGGTTCAAGTCTCAGTTGCTCCACTTGCAGCCAGCGCTGTTCTAGTTGCCCGGGAAGAGGAGGGGAAGAGGACCCCAGTGATTTGGTTCCCATTACCCACATGGCAGGCTGGGATGAAGTTCCTGGGTCTTGGCGTTACCCGGCTCAACCCTCCGTTGCCACCACTTGGGTAGTGAACCAGCAGGGAGAATATCTGTCTTCCTCCCCCCTCATGCCCCCTTTGCAACTTTTTCAAATAAGTCTCCAAAGTAAATAAACAAAAACAGCACAGTTAGAATGCACAGTACACGGAGTAGAAATTGCAAGGGTGAACTGAGAAATGATTTGATTTGATTCCTGAGTGAAGTACACAGTTGGTTACAGCCACTGTGGTCTTACATGGTGGCCACTGTTCACACAGCTGTTGGCACTGAAGTTGAATAATGAATGAAAAGGAAAAATTCAGTTCCTCATCGTAGGAGCTCAGTAGCCACAGGTGGCTGTGGACAGCACAGAATAAAATGAAGGACAGCATGGTGCAGCTCCGAGAGTAGGCCCTGAGCTTCAGCTCCATCAGCTCCTAAGGACTTGAAAATGGCACAGCCCCGGACCCCGGCACCAGCCACTTAGCTGCAGATAGCAGGAAAGCTTAGAGCTCACAGCGCGTTCATTTCTGCTGTCCATTACTATTGAACACCAGAAGCATTTTTTTCCAGTTTTCACACTTAGCAACAGTACCCATTCACATACTAATTTCTCATTCTCACATGTACCACTGGAACTGAGTCACATTAAGGGATACTCTGTGTGTGTGCATGTGCAATACAGCCACAAAATGAAAGATGGCTTTTATACAGATTTTTCAGATGTGATCTGACTTCATTTTGTTTACAGAGTTAGCAGAGAACCAAGCCCTTGAAAGTAACCCTAAGCCTGTAAAGGAAAGCGAGCATGCCATTCAGTCATGAACCACTTGCACTACAGGGAATGTTAATTAAAAAAGCAACCACATATGCAGGGCTGTCGCTCATGATGTTCCAGCCAGAACTCTGTTGCCTGACATCTTCACGCATAACACATTCATTTCAAATAGTCAGCAAACCTATTTCTCAATCCATATTAACAGGCAAAAGAGATTCTCACCCAGTGACATCAACAGTCACAAAACTGTTGAATATACAAGTGCAAAAATCAGCAGGACACCACAAGTGTTGATGATTAATGCTCAACAACACGTGGGCCTCACATAGGCCTGGGGTCTGAAGAGGCTGTCCGTAGGACACACACCCATCGCAGGCGTGAATGTGGGACTACAACCTTGAGTCTACAGCGATCTTGCTCCAATCACTTGGTGCACACCAGTTACACACAAAGGGGAGGCACTGAAATATTTCTATTTATGTTGATTACAGTTGTTTATGAATAGCTTAAAGGCAACTGTTTTATAAAACATACTTTCCTTTTTGCTCTTCCTCCCTGCTTTACCGTGCCTCAAAACAAGTCAAGAAAAGTATAAACATCACCCAAATTCTATCACATAAAGAGGTCATGGCTAATACTTTTGTGTCTTACCTCTTAACTTTTACCTTTTGTGCTCATGTATTTCCTTTTTATAAAGCTGAGATCATACTTTTACTATATATTGAGAATTTCCTCTAATGCTACTTTGTATTCTTTTAAAATGCTTACCATTTAGTGACTGCATACCATTCCACCCTTCGGAGTTGCCCTCAATGGTTGGCCATTTGGGTTGTGTCAAATTAAAAATCACAGGGGAGTTTGCATTGTCATATAAATCCCTGCCCACATGTCTGATTATTTCCCAGGACAAGTTCCTGGAAGTGGAATTACAGGCTCAGCCATGTGGGAGCATTTGTTGAGACTCCTGACACATTTTGTCACATTGCTCTAGAGGAAATCTGTTCCCGTTCACATACCTCCCAGCAATGTGAGGCTGATTTCCCCAAGCACTTGAAAAATGCTCTTGTTTTTAGCTTGACAGGAATAAAGTAGTACCCTTGTATTTTAATTTTTTAGATTTGCCAGTGACAGTAAACATTTAAATCTTTAATTTTTGTAGTTTGCTTTTCCTAGATTATTTCTTCTGAACTTGGCTTATTTGTCTATGAAGGCCTAAGAATTTAAAAAATCTTGAATTGCAGGTATTTTCCCTGTGAGTTTTTGTTGCAGAGTTCATAGTTTACTTCCTCTGACAAGCTCCTGATGACTTTCGTGCCTGAAAGTTCTTCCTAGACCAGATATAAAGGATCTCATCGGACGCAGAAGGATAAGTGAATTTAAATTGCTTAGCAACTGGGCTTAGCCCATGGCATTGTAAGTCTGTGATAAATGGTGAATATTCCAATCAAAAGATGAGGAAACTGAGGGCAATGAAAAGTCACCCTCTCAGGTGAAGAAGTGGGGTTCAAGGCATTCAAGCTCATGCTTTGTGGCTGGAGCCTTAACTGCTCTGTCATTGTGAACAGTCAGGGGTTCAGGCTAACAGCAATGTTGACCATCACACTGCGGATATCTGGGAGGCTGAGAGAGTTACAGATCTCCTCCTCCTGGAGATGGATGTGGTGCTTTCTCAGAAGAGAAGGAAAACACTTGGCTGGCACGCAAGCCCATCACAGACCAGGCGCAGCCGTACTTACTTACAGTACATTCAGCTTCCTACGTCACTGCTCCTCATTTCCATGCTTCAGTTTTCACTTTGGAACACAATGATTTGAAGAACCTAGGCGTTTTCTGCCTTTTGTGATTCTGCCTTAATGGCTTGGCTGGGGGCTGTGTGAACCTCAGGCCTGATAGTCTACGTGACACCCGGCAGGACACCTGGCAGGTCACGTAGGCAGACCACTTCTCAGGAAGGAGGTACCCGGTATTTGATAAGATTCACAGCCCAATAGCTCGTCGATTTGTACTTTTTAAAAGTTGCTTGTTTCAAACCCACCAATAGAAGCCTGCTAAGTCATGACTGTATAATTAATAGCCTAAAATGTATAAGAACTGGGGGGCTTGGGCTCTGGGGGTTTCCCTTGGCTCTTCCCTTGGCTTCTGGCTCGCGCTTCTTTTGTCCTCCTTGTGGATCCTTGCAGCCTCGGCTGCGGCTGTCCCTCCCCCGCTCAGCCATGCTGGGCTGGGGGAGGTGGCTGGGAGACCTAGGCTAACCTGAATAAACCACCTTTTTGCCTCAGCACGGACTTCAGACTTGATGATTATCTGGGGGTTTCAAAAACCGGCACAACATTTGGGGGCTCGTCCGGGATCCCCAGGTCATCAAGACTAATGGCGTGTGTGGTGAGTGTCGCCTAACTTTTCTTTACCAGCCAGTTTTATCTGATCAGTTGCCTTTTTCAGCTGAATTTTGCCTTTGCGCCCAGTATGGGGTCAGAAAGCCCTGAATGGATTAAGTGTTCGCCTGGTGAGCGGGCTGAAACGCCTCTCCAGGTAAGGCACCGGTTTGCTAAGGAGGAGTAGGTGTGTTCCCTCCGAATGATTTTTCTTTTAGTAGGCCTACTTTGTTAACTGTGTGTCTGTCTTGTCTTGAAACTGTTGTATGTTTTTGTGTCTGCCGGCTATAAGTTAAATGCTTGCTAGGATAGTTAAATTGGCTGCATAATCTTGAACTGTGAGAACTTTGTAAGAAGGCCTCTTACCTAGATTGAATTGGACCTATGAGTGGCGCGCCTAAATTCTAATTTGAATACAGCGAGAAAGTTTCTCTAGATTAATTTTCTGAGCTAGCAGGATGGCCTAAAGTCTCCGGAGAGGTTGGGAGTCGGCAGCTGACATTACAGAGTCTGGGCGGACGCGTAATTCGGCTCTGTCGGTTGGGATCTCTTGGTGACGACTGGGGTCCCCAAGGCCGACGTCCCTGGGTCCAGGTGCCTGACCTGAGGGACTGCGTGCTCTCCCCGGTTCCGAGCTAGACGGACTTGCTTGCCTGGGTTCCGAGTCTGATGGGCTTGGGGGTAGCCTTCTGCCTGGGTTCCGAGTCTGATGGGTTGGGGGCAACCTTCTAATTGGGCGTCAGATTCGATGGGGCTTCTGCCTGGGTTCCGAGTCTGATGGTGAAGGCGACCTTCTAGCTGAGTTCCGGATTCGAGGGGCTGTAGTGAAGGCGACCTC